ATCGGAAATTCTATTTGACATAATCGAAAGTTCAAGTTTACTTTTATAAAATTGCTCTTACAGTCTGCAAAAAATAATAAACGGGATCTAATTCGAAGATTAAGGAACAACGCAATCATTAACGTTAACTGAAATAGATAATTAGGTAATTTTAGCCTACACCGTCCGTTATACATTAAACGCGCAGGCGAAAACATATTCTGCACTTGCGCACACGCATATGCGCAGTAGTCAAGGTCTTATGCGCACGCCTAAAACGCCTGTGCCAACGCGGCACATGCGCAGAAAGTTTTTAGCTTTGAGGTCCGGAATTATAGATCATTCCGGATTATGGGTGTCCGAATTAATGACTTTTGACTGTATATATATCCACTCTGTTACTCGGCTCAGTGATCTCAGTTTCTTTATTCTTATATGTGTGTAAATTGTGCATTTTTTGCTTTAAAAATGATTGAATTATGCTGTCCTTATCTTCCGGTTAAGGTTTTTATGCCTTTAGTAAATCTGTATGCACTATTTTTAGAATTATCAACAATTTAAAAGTTGTTTAAGTGCCGCTAAGCCTAATAATTTTGCCATGACGGCCATTGCTTGTTTACATTTGAAACAGCAGAATAGTAGATTTGTTGCTAATCTAGAGAAAGTAAGCTTCTCAATAACAAAGATAATGCCTTCTTTTATTATTGTGAATTAAATCATGCTTAATCCATTGTGGAATTTATTCGAAGAAATAAGTGTTTAGGATTTACTTCATAATTTTCAATACAGACATGCTGAGTTTTTATGTTTTTTTTGCCTTGTCACGAAGTGACATCTGAATTAATTGAATGAGAAACACTGAATTGTCTGCGAAAAACTTTTTTTTTTTGGTTGTTGTTGTTCTTTGCTTAATTTCTTTTATACATCATTTTAGATTTATTATAGTATTTGAATAGAACATGTGGCAATGATTAGATAATTCTTAAGATGATATAAATTTTGTGCATTCTGAGTTAAAGTGAGCCTAGGGCCAGAATAACAAATATGGTAAGCAAATATAGTGAATTTTAAAGAGAGCATTTATTCTATCGTGGAATTCGTGCAAGGAAGTCATGTGGTGCCCACATCAGATTTTTAATTATAGGAATTATTAACTTTTCCACCACTGTGTACAAGGATACCCAATTTCAGCAATTAATTGGGATGTTTCACAACAAGGCATAACTAGATTTTCAGACTAGAGAAGAAAGATTCCCCATAAGAAATATTTGAAGATATAACCTGGTTAGGTTGCTAACTATTATGGTCTTTCATCAGCACTTTTCATGAAACCAAATTTGTTTAATCCATATTTTCTTTGTTTTTGCATGTATAATGGACAACATGCAGCTCCTTGTTAGAGCCATTCCCAGAACTTGTGTTTGGATGAAGTCACTTTACTGTTTATTATTACTGTCATCAATGAGAATTTTTCCTGTCTGGACATCAATTGATTGCTCACTGGTTATAACTCAGACATTTTATTATTATTATTATTATTAGCCATTTGTCCATTGATAATTTGATGTGATATAATATTATAATTAACATTAATAAGTTTTAAAAAAGTACACAGTATTTGAACAAATAATCACTGCGAATGTGAATAAAACTATGTTGCCACCAAAAGTTAACAGGAATATGGCAGAAGACCTTAGCAATATTTTCTCATTCTAGTCAAGATTCGGTATCTTCGCTCTCATACAAAACATTGATTGAGTCTGTTGCAGTAATCCAGTGGGACCTAATCAAGTTTTGGTGGTGCTGCAGATAAGATTAAAATTGTAAATAAACTAATAAATTAATCAGTGATTAAATTTTTGTATTATGTGTCATCTATGAAGACAATAAATTACTAAATCACAATGTCATCTGTTGACAAATAGTAATAGTTTCATGTTACTGTAATATGAAATTCATTTAACCTGCCATTTTGCTTTTGTGAGCCAGTGCTGGGTAACAACCTAGCATTTCGGAAATACTGTAACCCATGATCAAAAAGGAAAATGCACCATTTGCACATCCAAGCAGCTGCTGTGTAAAAGAATTCAGAAATGGACAGATCCAGGAGAAACAAGTTACAGTGAAGTTTTCCATAGCAAAAAGAGCAGGAGTGCTGAAATTCATTGAAAAAATGAAAAGGATGTACAGATTATACTTCATATCATTTGCAAGGAGAATGAAGTGATAAAAGCAGATTTGCAAAGAACATGCATTAATGTCAAAGAACAGCAATTTGGAACACCAATATGCATCACTTGTAAGCAGGTATCAAAAATGCTTTGGGGATACATTGTTATGCACTCATTCAGTTTTCATAGCTATTAGAAAATGAGTGCATTTTCAGTAGTTAGAACATATAATAGAATGCCATACTGCTGAAGAAATCAGCATGAGAAATGGAACTATACCATATTCACAGGTGGGCTGAGGTTCCATTAAGCATGTACACAACAGATCTATTCGAAACCATCTCTAGAAGTATACTTTATTGCAATCATTTTGCAACATGCAAATAAAAGGGAAGATTTGTGGTCATAAACTGTTGCTGCGTGTGAAGCAATGTGATTATTTTGAACAAGAATTAAAAAAAAAAAAAAAAATCTCATAAAAACTTGAAAAATCCTTAAATGAAAAAAAAAAAAAAAAAAAAAAAAAAATTTTTAAGGTCTTTCCAAAGCAATGTTAGCATGACAATGATGGCATTTAACAAAATCATAATACTCTTTGTCCATTTCCTTAAGCGTGGGGGCAAAGAGAGTATAAGTTCAGCACTAGTTTAAGTGAAAAACTAAGGGAAGGGCAAAATTAAAGTAGGCTGAAATAAATATTGATATGAAAGTAATAACAAATTATTCATGTGAGCAAAAGTTTAAGATTTATCTTATGTGTAAAAATATATTATAACTCTGACAGTATATGGAGTTATAAGGAAATGTAGATCACCTTACGAAAAGCAGTGAATGTCAAAAAGACAGTACTTAACTCACAATGTTATCCTGTACTACAAACAAGGATGTCAAACGTGCGGCCCGGCCAATATATCGGCAAATAATAATATATAATAATAAAATAACATATCGACGAAGAAAGAAATGAAATGTTTACTGTTAAGTAATTAACGATAATTTATTCAGTGTTGTTAGATTACTCACAGTGAGCTGACACACACACTACTTAAATTACAAATGCGTGTGAGTAGCTTGCGTTCAGCTACCTTCGGCTTTTGGGGGACACGTGCACTTGGAACTTGTACGCATCCCCCGATAGCCAAACTCATGGTCTCAGTTTTCCCATCATAGTTTTGTACGATATATTGGTGCATGCATGTGCATGCACTTTGCTTGATTATTAATTATTACTTAATTCATATTGTTATGGATTTCATAGTTATTTATTTAGTTGGGTTTTTTTTATTTAGAATTGTAATTAGATTTGCTTCATCTTGCCTTAGCAACGCAGACGATTTTTGAAAAGACAGCTGCGTTGGAAGGTTAAAAATAGAACAGCGCGTGCATTTAATACCTAATAAATAAGTATCTCGTAATTGCTGTTGCCATCCACAAAAATCCAGATATTTATAGATGTTTCCAGTATATTCGAGAAATTCATTATTAGTTATCACCTGCAAACAAAATTTCTCCCGAAATAGGAAAGATAATAGCAGAGAAGAGATGTCAAGTATCAGGACGTAAACATTAAATTTTTCTTGTTCTTTTCTATATAAATATATATACGAGGGCTATTCAGAAAGTAGATTACGTTTTGGAATAAAAAAATAAACAAAGTATAGGAAACAAATTTTATTATATACAGATGAAAGCCACACTCAAATACTACTTTTCTACATAGTCACCATACAAATTTTATCGTAGCGATGTACGAGCTTGGAAATTCCTTCGTCGAAAAATTCGGCCGCCTGCGCCTTCAACCACTTCGTCCTCTGTCAAGATTTTTGGAATCCATCTTGCACAAAACTTGTGGTAACCAAGCTTTTCGCTGATGATTTCGTGCAACAAACTTCGCGAAATTTGTGGAAAACTCAAAGAAAGTTCCGTTATTGTGAAATTTCGATTTTCACGGACTTTAGCATCGACTTTTTCGAGAAGTTCGGCGGTCACTATGCTGGGTCTCCCACTTCGATCTTTGTCGTGAACATTGGTTCGGCCATTTTGAAATCTTATGACCCACTGACGCACTCCACCTTCAGTGATAATGTTGTCCCCATACACTTCACGAAGCTGCCGATAGATTTCTATCGGTTTACAGTTTTTTGCAGTCAGAAATCTTATTACTGAGCGCACCTCGCAGGATTTTCAATTAACGCAGACATTTCAAACCGTCACAGTATCTGAACGGAGCACAGCACAAACCTCTCACTAGCACGGCTAGATGCAGACTGAGCTGCGCAACGCTCTGACCCCAAGATGGCCGCGCTAGCCCCGCCCCTAGCGGACACAGACGGAAACGTAATCTACTTCCTGGATGGCCCTCGTATATGTTTATTATTGTATTATTCGAAATAAATCTACATTTCTATGAATATTGATTTTTTTTTTTTTTTTTTTTTTTTTTTTTTTTTTTTTGCGGCCCGCCTAAAGTTACCTATGAGTTTGACATCCCTGCTGTACTATGATATATATGTCCATATAACAAATGTCATCATATATCACTATCAGATATTCAAATGGGAAATCCCAGTCATTCTTCCCTTTACTTCATATCTAGCAGCTAATATATCTAGCACTGAAGCCAATTCTACACAGATTATGAACAGAATTTTCATGTGGTTCTATGAAAATTCCTGGACTTCTCTATGGAAGTCCATTGTATGTCAGTGAAATATATAATAATTTCACTAGCACATTTTAAACAAAACTAACACATCATCTTGATATAGTCTACAGCTTGTTTTCTATCGAAAGCACCTTATATTTTCATTTATTCCATAACAAAGAACATTTCATTGTTTATAAACTTACCTTCCTTTGAAAGGTTCCATCTAATGCTGCTACAATAACTATCTTCCCTTTGTTTGCCATTTCTTCAGCAAATGACACAATATCTGGAAACTAATTTAAAATAAATATAAGAAAAATTCTTTTAAATACACAATAAATAGAAAAAAGTAGTACTTATGTACTTTCCCACTAAGAATTGAAATTGATCGATATCCTGCCAAACTAATGCCAATCATTCCAGCAGAGGTTTGAAGAAAGAGATTACTTTTTTTAATTTTACAAGTACATATTACAGATACAGAATATAAAAAAACTTAATTAAATTTGAGCTCAAACTTGTGCCAATCATCCCTGCAACAGTTTAGAAAAAGCAGCAGTTAACTTGCATCCTTCTTTACAAAAACTAAACTGGCTTTTCCCAGATAAATTGAAGTTAAATAATATCAAGGATCTTAAGATACAATAACACGGCAAACAAATATTAATTTAGAAGTCAAGCAACAAAAATCAGCGTCCTATTTTCAAATTTTCGCAGGACTAGTTTCGATGGTTTTACCGAACCATCATCCTCAGCTGCAAAAGTGCAAATGAATGAGATAAGATATAATGATTAAATAAGATAAGAAAGCCTGGAAAGGAATCAAGCTACTGGCATCATCTGTTGATGAAACCAGAAACTAAAACATAATTTCTTTAAAGGCTGAAGGCAAAGATGGATTGGAATTAGGGTCGTTAACTAGAACAGAAAGATTTTTTTTGAATATGAAATTCCTCTAGAAAATCCAGTTCACCAATGGAACTTTTTTTTTTTTTTTTTTTTGAATAATTTTGGCAGCAGAAAAATTGAAAGTGTGATTTGCGGACCAACAATGTTGAGTAACAGAAGACTTCTGTGTTTCCTTTTTTCTAACATATGCCTCATGTTCCTTAACGCGAAATTTCAAGGCTTAGTTTGGCCAATGTAAATTAAGCTACACTGACAAGGAATCCTGTAAATATCCCAGGAATTCATATCCGGAATGGAGTTCTTGAGTATGGAAATCGGAATTTTATTGATGGGAGAATAAATGACTTGAAAGTTAAATTTCTGTAAATAATGTGCAACTTTATAGTTAATTAATGGAAAGAAGGGAATGACAACATAATTTTTTAAATCTTCTAAAACAAGAGTGTGCTATTCGATGTGTTGAGATGAGAATTTTTTAACTGCTTGATTAATAATGTTGGGTGAAAGGCCTCTGTCAATAGCTACTGCTTTTAAATAATTTAGTTTTTCATCAAGGGATAGTTTGGAGGAGCAAACTTGAAGAGCACGGAAAACATAGGAATAAAATGAAGCTAACTTTTGTTTAGTCGGAAGACATGATTTAAAGTGTGGTGGAAGGCAAACCGATGAAAGTTTACGGAAAACCGTAGTACTGAAGTTGGATGTGTTACGTGTGACCAGAATGTCGAGAAACGGAAGAGAATTGCAAGTCTCAAGTTCAAAAGTGAACTGAATAGCAGGATCAATAGAATTCATTGTTGAAAGAACTCTATTTAAATCATCTTTATTACCTTCAAACAGGGTAAAAGTATCGTCTACGTAGCGGAACCATGCCGGGAAGTTTTAAAGTTTCAAACAATTTTGATTCATAATAATGCATGTAGATATCAGCCAGGATGGGACTGAGGGGGCTTCCCATGGCTAATCCCTCAGTTTGCTTGTAATATTTATTTTGGAAAACAAAATGTGTGTTCTCGACATTCTGGTCACACGTAACACATCCAACTTCAGTACTACAGTTTACCGTAAAGCTTCATCGGTTTGCCTTCCACCACACTTTAAATCATGTCATCCGACTAAACAAAAGTTAGCTTCATTTTATTCCTATGTTTTCCGTGCTCTTCAAGTTTGCTCCTCCAAACTAGCCCTTGATGAAGAACTAAATTATTTAAAAGCAATAGCTATTGACAGGGGCTTTTCACCCAACATTATTAATCAAGCAGTTAAAAAATTCTCATCTCAACACACTAAAAGCCACACTCTTATTTTAGGAGATTACAAAAATTCTGTTGTCATTCCCTTCTTTCCATCAATTAGCTATAAAGTTGCACATATTTTGCAGAAATTTAACTTCCGGGTTGTTTACTCTCCCATCAATAAAATTCCAACTTCTATACTCAAGGACCCCATTACGGATATGAATTCCTGGGGTATTTATAGGATTCCTTGCCAGTGCGGTTTAATTTACATTGGCCAAACTAAGAGAGCCTTAAAATTTCGCGTCAAAGAACATGAGGCATATGTTAGAAAAAAGGAAACACAGAAGTCTTCTGTTGCTCAACATTGTTGGTCCGAAAATCACACTTTCAATTTTTCTGCTGCCAAAATTATTCAAAAAAATCTTCCATTGGAGAACTGGATTTTCTAGAGGCATTTCACATTCATAAAAATCTTTCTGTTCTAGTTAACGATCCTAATTCCAATCCAAATTTGCCTTCGGCTTTTAGAGAAATTATGTTTTAGTTCTGGTTTCGCCAACAGATGGCACCACTTGCTTATTCTTGTCCAGGCTTTCTTATCTTATCTAAACATTATTTCCTATCTTGTTCATTTGCGGTTTTGCAGCTGAAGATGATGGTTCGGTAAAACCATCGAAACTAGTCCTGTGAAAATTTTGTGAATTAACGCTGAGTTTTGTTGTTTGACTTCTGAATCAGTATTAAGCTTTTTCTTTTTGTAAATTTTGATACCCTTTAGATCATAATTGTTCTTTATTTCATGAATTACGGTTTCATATTTTTAATTTTGTAATTTCTGCATGCCATCTTACCACATTTAAACTGATGGTCTATAATCCGGAAAAATCGATAATCCAAAATCGCCGAAGTCCTGACGAGTCCGGATTAACGACTTTTGACTGTATTGTCATTCCAAAACTAATATGTTCCTTGATTTATCATGGTTACTGAAAACTAAATTAATAACATTATACCATATAAATAATTCAATATTCATGTCATACATAATGTATTTTATATAGAAATTTTAGGTAAGAGACACTAGCAGCAATAGAAAAAATAAATTAATTAATTAATTAAAAAAAGAAAAAAAACCACTCATAACACAAATACTGAATCCTGGCCTGTGCCCTAGATTTGTTGAAAACAGAAAGCATGTACGGAAGTATTTGTCATTATTTATGTGAGATAACTGTAGATTATATACTTGATATAGCCTACACAGATACATTAAGTTTCAGATGATATATAAATAAATAGATTCTTTATACCAAACAAGCTATAGCCATCAATACATCATATACAAAAAGAGTTTAAAACAAAATTAATATATCACTTTAATATATGTTATAGCTTGTTTATTATTTACCGCACCTTATATTTTACAATACCATCACAGATAATTTAATTATGTGATATTTTCGAGATGCTTATCGGCATTCAAAACTGTCAAATGTAGAGCTATGACAACATGGCAAACATGTCTAACTGCAATAACGAATTTCAAAATTTTATCAACACAGATCGTTTGCACAATTAGTTCTTTCAGTATGTCAGTCAGTAAACTTATTTGGCAATGCAGCAGTCGAAAGTTATATGAACGTAATACCTCCTTCCTTTTATTTTAAATTTAATTCAGAAATTCTATACTTTTTGGCTTCATATATGCTTATGAAATATATCAGAAAACTATATGATAAAGGAAAAATAAATTATAAACATAAATGTGAAATAAAAGATAGGCAGTACAAGCTGACATAGTAAGAATCTTTAATGAGAATTGCATAAACATTAAAATGGCATTAAATAAATCATGCATAAATAAAATGAATCTAGTTATTCCAAACAGAAGTGGCTATATTATTTAATAAACTTGATAAATTCAAATTTGTTTCACTAAATGCATTGGTGGGGAGGGACGTTAACTGTCAGCCTTGAAATACGAAAAACCAAGAGTTTTCTGGCACTTCAAGAGAACTCCAAATTGACATAAATTCACTTCATAGTGTACGATTAGTTTATGGAACTATTTATATACTTTTGTTGAAAGATATACTATTACATACTCTAAATTTTACATTCTTTGGCTAATTTCAGTTTGTGAGTTTCTTATGCTCTTACTCTGCGAGTAAGGAAAATATGCTTTTATTTATCCATGTTAATTTGAAATACGATAAAAAATAAAATTTATAATTAATCCACACAGTATTATGAAAATAGTAATGTATCACATACAGGGTATGAATCAGAAGTTTCAAGACTGGTTCATTTCTGAGTGTGCGTGGACCGATTTCACTAGGTGGAGGAAGTAGTGGGGGATTTTAGGGAACCAACTGACGCTGCGGTAGTTGCCTCCAGAACCCTGGAGAGTGTGCATCGCTTGCTGTGTGAGTGCCTGTCATTGACCTTGGTTGAAAAGTGGGAGAAGCGAAAATGGAGCAGCACTTGGAGCAACATTATACAATTTTTTAAGTTTTGCATACAACTAAACAAAACCGCCACGGAGACTCTAGGATTCAAGAGGCCTTTAAGGAAGAAGCCATGTCCCGTAGCAATGGTTTTCACGAGGCACAAACGTTTTAAAGATGGCCATGGGAATGTTGAAAATGACGACCGCTCTGGGAGGCTATCATCAAGCCGAAAAGATCAAAATGTGGAGAGAGTGCGGGAGCTTTTAAACAATGACCGTCGTCTTAGTATTAGATTAATTGTCGATGAACTGGGACTCAGTCAGAGTACGGTGTGGAGGACAGTGACGGAGAATTTGATGATGCAAAAAGTGTGTGCCAAATTGGTGCTGAAAGTTTTGTCGGTGGATCAGAAGAAATGGCACGATTGTTTGCCAGAAAATGCTCCAACGGTTGAATGTTGATCCGAGCCATCTGGAGAAAGTGGTTACTGGTGATGAGACCTGAGTCAAAGCGTCAAAACTCAGAATAGCACACTGCTTCTTCACCGAAGCCCAAGAAAGCTCGCATGAGCAAGTCGCGTGTGAAGTGCATGCAGACTGTCACAGGTGACTTACTCTGGACTGCTCTGCCGCTTGAGGGATCAAGTCTGCCGCGTCCATCCGGTGATCAAGGAAGATTGGATTCTCCACCACGACA